GTTATATCTTTACACCATACTTATTTAATCTGGCAAATGCATATGCCACAACCTTGCTTGCTGGAAGTGAAGAGAACTTAATGCTCCTTATGTGCTGCATCAGTTTGATGAAACATTGCAATTTGTATTCCACCATTTTTTTTTTAATTGGAGAAATCTTTTATTTTACTTTGAGTAAATATTCATGTGATGGCTATTTGTTCTTCTTCTTAAAATATACCTGAATGTACCTGTTCTAACCCATGTAAAATCTTTGAAATAGGATCAATCTAATGAAAATAAAAATATACCCAATACTGCGGAAGGAAAAAATAGATCAGCAATAATTTCCTCAGGCATAAATTGTTGACAGTCTCATACAGCATATTAGCCTCTTTTTTTTTTTTCTTAAATGTTTTATTGTGAATTATGTGATAGTTTACATGGGAGAACATTAGTTTTACATTCATTTTGTCTTATATCATCTCATTGCCATAGTTACAATCCCCTCCATGCATCATCAACCAACCAAAGGGTATACCCTGCAATCCTTCCCCCATATCCCCCAGGTCTTCAGCACACAGTTGCTCTCCCTCTCCGGATCCAAAGTCTCCAGCTGCTCCATCGCTCCACATTATCATCTCTGGCTCCATTTCAGGCAGCACTGCTTCTCTGGGGAGGGTCCTGCTCTCTGCTCTTCTCCCTTGATGGTCCTAGGGACCTCCAATCCTAGACTGAAAAGTTAATCACTCCCCTCCTTACTATAAAATGTCTACCTTTACATTTCTGACCCTCACAATCAGTCCTGATAACAATTATTCACTATTGTATCACAAGAGACCCGTCTGCATTTCACTGCATCAGTCCTGCCTGGACAGATTGAATACTACTCACTGGAGATTCTACATTCCTCCAGGCCCTCTGGATCTAGGTTCCCTCTTGAAAGCTTGTAAGCCAGTCACTTCTTGTGTTTGTAGCCCCCCACCCCCCATTTTGGGTAGCCAATGTCCAAGTTGCCCATCCCTGTCTACTCTGTATGTGGATGGGGTGGGAATGATTCTTGCTGTTAGGATTTGTTCCCTCTTTTGAGCTACTGCTTCCATAGGTGTAGGTCAAGTTCATCAAATTGTATGAGAATACTTTTTTTTTTTTTTTTTTTTTTCCCTCTTCTGGTTGAGCTCGGATCATCCAGTCACTGAAGTCAGGATAAGTGGGTATTATCTGCAAGTGTGGGTGTTCTTATTTAGCCTCTATTTTTAATGGAACTTACCAAGTATTATAAAATGTTGAATAAAGTATTAAAGTTTATGGAAAAACATCATCTGCAAAAATATTCAAAATAAATCTTCTCTTGAGCGCTCACTGTTAATGCTGACTTTTATGGACAGCCTACCTAGATCTGACTCAGCAGAACTTCACAACACCAATCTAGATCCAGGAAGCTCTGGTGGTATAGTGAATTATGACCTGGGCTGCTAACCACAAGGTCAGTAGTTTGACTCTTCCAGTTGCTGCGCAGGTGAAAGATAAGACTTTCTGCTCCAGTAAAGATTTACAGCCTTGGAAACTCTATATAGGGTCTCCATGAATCAGAGCCAACTCAGTGGCACACAACCACAACCACCACCACCTACAAGTTGCTGCACAGGTAGATCTAGTTCCTGGATGGTTCAACCAGTTAACATGCTTGGCTACTCACTGAAAGGTTGAAGACTCAATTTCACCCAGAGGTACCTGAATGATGTATTTCTGAAAACTCAGCCATTGAAAATCCTATGGAGTATAGTCCTATTCTGACATACATGGGTCAGAATTGAAAGACATCTGGTGATACCTAGATCCACTCCGTCTCCAAATTAAAAAATGGATGTTCTTTACTCCAAAATCAGTAATGTATCATTTATTATTTGCCACTATTTAGTAGAGGATGAAATAATGAGAAAAATAATATAGCACACACCCCTGTCACTTGTTACCTCGTCCATAGGCAATGGAAACACGAATGTTATCACATGGGTGAATTCAGCCGTATTAGAAATCTTGTTTCTTAAGCTGTTAGGTAAATCTGTGTTTTATTATTATGCTTAAAAACGAATATATTTGTTATAGTTTTTAAATATATAAAATATTTCACAATAAAAATGTTATAAAATATGAAAATAATCTAGAACATTCTTAAAATCATATATTAATCAAAGAGGAGCAATGTCAACCAAAAATGGCTCATGTGCTTTTTAAAAAAAAAAAATTTATTAGTCCTTTCAAAGAACCAACTTTTCAAAATTTTTGTTATGAATTGAGTGACAGTTTGCGTGGGAGAACATCAGTTTTACTCCACCAAATTTTGAAGCCTTCTTTTTTGCCAGTGCCTTCAGTGCAGCTTGGATTCCTTTCAATACTATCATTTCTTGTTGATATGCTACCCTTGGAATGGCTGAGCATTGACAAATTCTTTTTATTACAGTAATTGTAATTCCTTCCATCTTCTTTTGATGCTTTCTGTATCTTAAAATATTTTGCTCATAGAAGCTTACAATATTATAACTGAAGATTGGAAATTTTTCTTCAGTTCTTTCAGCTTTAGAAATATTGAGCACGTTCTTCCCTTTTGGTTTTCTAAATCCAGGTCTTTGCACATTTCACTAATACAATACTTGATTGTTTCTTCTCAAACTTTCCTGTTCAGCTCTTTACATCTTCATTTCTTTCAATTGCTTTAGCTTTTCTATGTTCAAGAGCAAGTTTCAGAGTATCTACGGATATCCACTTAGGTCTGTTCTTTCTTTCCTGTCTTTTAAATAATCTTTTGCTTTCTTCTTTTATGATGTTCTTGATGTCATTCTACAACTCTTCTGATCTTTGGTCATTATTGTCCAATGCAGAAAATCTGTTCTTGAGAGAGTCTCTAATGTCCGATGGAATATACTTAAAATTATATTCTGGCTCTCATGAACTTGTTTTAATTTTGTCCGGCTTTATCCAGAACTTGCATATGAGCAACGGATGGTCTGTTCCACAGTTGGTACCTAGTCTTGTTTTGACTGTTGCTATCTAGTGTTTCCAAAATCTATTCCCACAGATGTAGTTAATTTGATTCCTGTGGGTTCCATCTGGTGAGGTACACCTTTTATGTTGTTAAAAAAAGTAATTTGCAAATAATAAGTCTTTGGTCTTGCCAAATTCTATCATGTGATCTCTAGCACTGCTTCTGTGCTATTTTTTTAAACTGTTGATCCTTCTTCCTTTTTGTTTCCAACTTTTGCACCCTAATCACAAGTAATGATATTTCATATTGAACAAGTTGGTAGAATTCTTCAGTTTTATCATCACTGTTTTTAGTGGTTGGTATGTAAATTTGGAAATAGCAGTATTAACTGGTCTTCCATGTTGGTATATGTATACAATCCTCTCACACACAGCACTGTGCTTCGAGATTAATCTTAAAATGTTCTTTCTGACCATGATGGCAATGCCATTATCGCTCTGTTTTTCGTACCTGGCTTAGTAAACCATATTATTGTCTGGTTCAAAATGGCCAATACTAGTCAATGTAAGCTCCATAATACCTGGTATATTCATCTTTATGCGTTTCATTTCATTTTGATGACTTCTAATTTTCCTAGATTCATGTTACAGTACATTCCATGTTCTGTTTATTAATGGATGTTTGCGTCTGTTTCTGCTCATTTTGAGTTGTATCCCATCAGAAAAAGAAAATCCTAAAAGCTTTGTTCCACCCACGTCTTTAAGGTCAGTTGTACTTTCAGTAGTTAGCTCTAGCCCAGTAGTATTTTGAGTGTCTTCTAACCTTAGGGGCTCCTCTTGTAACTACATCAGACGATGCTTTGCTGCTATTCATAAGGTTTTCAGTGACTGACCATTCAGAAGTTATCCATTCTCCTTCATAGTATGTCTTTGTCTGGAATCTCTAGTTTGTCCATCATAGGTGACCCTGCTGGTATTTAAAAGACTTATTGCATAGCTTCCAGCATCACAGCAACACACAAGGCACCAAAAAAAGAGAAACTGCAAAATAAGTGGTGGTCTACTTTATATAATTTACTCATCTGAATGATCCTGAAAATTGACTTTTGTATTCTTCCCTTTGTGTCCCATGAAAAGCAATGTAACCATGAACTTGACCTATACGTATGCATGTAGCATCTCAAAAGAGGGAACAAATCTTTACAGCAAGGATCATTCCCGCCCCCTTGGTACATAGGGTTGACATGGATGGGCAACTTAGACATTGGCTACCCAAGATGGGAGGGGGGGCCTACAAAGGCAAGAAGTGACTGGCTTACAAGCTTTCAAGAGGGAGCCTAGTTCCAGATGGTGCGGGGGCTAGGTGGAATCTCCACTGAGTGGTTTCCAACGTGTCTGAGTGGGGCCGATGAAAGGAGATGAGGATAACAGTGAATAATTGTTATCAGGACTGACTGTGAGTGTTGCAGATGTAAAGGTAGACATTCAGTAACAAAAGGAGGGGGCTGGTTGATCTTGCAGTCCAGGAGCAGAGGACATTGGCACCAACAGAGCAGAGTGCGGGACCCTACCCAGAGAAGCAGTGATGCCAGAATGGAGGCAGAGACTGTGACATGGAGAGATGGAGCGGCTGGGGACTCTGGACTCAGGGAGGGAGAGGGGCTCTGTGCTGATGGCTGGAGGGCAGGCTTGACAGGTGTACTGTTTGGTTGTTTGATGATGCATGGAGGGGACTGTAATCATTGCAGTGAAATGAAATACAATATGATGAATATAAAGCTGATGTTCTCCATGTAAACTACCACTTAATTCACAATAAAAACTTAGAAAAAAAGGCAATGTAACCTTTCACAAATAACATCATAGATAGCTCAAATCATAAATAATATTTTAAAGGAAAAGACTCACTTGGATAAATATATACCAAAGCTTTAAAGTCATATTATTGAAAGTTCAGACAGTTAATTTATAGCAAATATGTGAATGGGATGGTCACCATGACCAAATGTGGCATAAAAAGACAACATACACTATACCTGCTTAGAGATCCAAGTATCTGAAGTCATCTCATATTTCTGAAACAAAGAAACAAAAATTAACTGCATGAAACACATGAAGACCAAAATGAGAATACTTAAGTTTTTCACACTATCGTCTTTTTTTTCCCCCTCTTCAGTTTGTGAAATACCATGGGAGATACCTTTGTTATTTCTGATTTAAACTGTAGAGAATTGTGATTTTGTGATTATGTGATAATTTAATTATCAGATCTGTAGAGAACTCCTTCACAGTTTCCAAATGTATGTCACCAGGAATAGAACATTGTCCAGTTCTGTTTGATTATCTCACTCACAATTCTTTCACCCACCAAACTAGAGGTATTTAAGGTATGGCAGGTATGGCTAGTGCTTTGGGTACCACTTGAAGAGGAGCATCATTGAGCAGTTTCCATTAAACTGGTAAGGCTCTGTCCTTCCTCAAGCCCAGAAGATGTCACAGGTGTAGCAGGGGGAGGGGTGTGTCAAAGTAGAAATTTGCTCCCATTCAAGTCCAAGATGACACCAATCAGGCATGGAGTAAGATTTTGAGAGATCCCTATGAAAGGTGGCTGGCTGGTGAGGAGCCAGACTTGATAGAGGTAGGTGTTTTTGTAATTTTTGTTGACTTGTTGCACTATCATCTTGAATTTGCCTATTCATATTGAATTTGAGGGGTGAGGTGTTACTAGGAGACTGGCTAGGGTGCTCACTACCTTTGCTATGGTTCTGCACCAAACGATGTTTCTTTTCATCTCTACACATCAGCCGGTGACTTGATTAGTAAGGTCTTCAAAGGAATTAGGCAAATGATCAGGAATAAAATTTAAAAATTGGACGTTCTTTCCGCTCCAATATATCCTTCAGCATGGATTTCTTCTAAATAAAATTTTATTGTTGTTTTTTTGTTTTTAGTTTAGGGAAAAACAGTTAGACATTTGAAGTGCTGATATTATATATATCACTTAAAAGTCTTTCAAAGAATCAGAACCAAAGTCATATTGTTTAAAAAACCTGACTAGCCTAATGATTAATGTTGCAGATAATCAAAATAAAAATTTAATAATTCCATTTACATATGAATTCTAAAATATCTTATAATTATCTGAAAAATGAATATTTAAATGTACAATTTAAGAAAATTAATAAATTACATTACCGATTTTATCTACATTCATGTTGTTAGTTGTTGTTGTTAAGTGCCGTGAAGTCATTTCAAACCACACTGACCCTGTATAGGGTTTCCAAGGAATGATTGGTAGGCTTGAACCACAAATCTTGTGGTTCAAACAAACTTTGCAGTACAGCACATTAACCCACAGTGCCATACCAAAACATCTATCTATATACATAGAGACTTCAAAATATTAATAACAGTAGCACCTTTACACATTTCTTTATTTTAACTAGTTTCCGTTACTAAAGTCATATTATTATTTACCTCTTTTTCTTATTAGAGCTTTTCTTATCAACAGATTTTTGCTGCCTGCAAACATTATTATTTCCTTAATTCTTTTTTAACTACATTATTTCCTTGATTTATTATTTTTTTCTCAGCAATAAGTTTCTGTGGTATCTATAAAACAGAAACTTTAAATATAAAGCAATTAGAATCCATGAGAGTATAAAACTTTACATGCTCTTATTTGTCTCATGATTTCAGTTATGATTGAAAGTGAACTATCAATCTAGTGCTTATCCTATAGTGCCATACCAGGACTCCAATAGCAAGTCAATAAGGTGTCAAATCAACAACAATATGGTTTTTATCACTATTTTATTGAATCTTTTAAATGTACTCTTGCAGTTATCGATATATAATCTAAACAACATTTAGACATTTTATATGGAGGTGATGGATTTTCTCTGATTAAATAGAATATGTTTTATATGGAAGTTTTTTAATGATTCAGGGACAAATTCTAAGTAATCATGCAGAACACTTTAGCAAATAAATGCACAAAGTCAAGTTAGTTGAAAATCTAACTAGATGGAAAGTATGACCCAAGTAAGTCAATGTTATTGTTGTTAACTGTCACCTAGTTGGTTCTTCTTTATCGTGGACCAGATTCTGAGGAGCACCTAGTGATTTTGAACAGCTGACCTTTTGATTCAAACCAACCTGGTGGTCCAGTGCTTATCCTAGAGGGTCACCCAGTAACACAAGCTAAATGCGAAGTGTATCAGTCAAATATAATTCAGCTCACTTAACTGTTGTTTGCACATCTTTGTTGATCACTTCAATCATGAAGAAACTGCTACTTCATCATTTATTGTTTCAAACCATTTAAAATTATGTTTGAAAATATATTGAAGTATAATTTACAAATGGTGAAACACACAGATCTTAAAGGTACTTAAAAGGTATCTTAAATGTGATGAGTTTTGACAAATTCATTCACATCCCATTGAGATAGAGGACATTTACTTCCCCTCCAGACTATCCTTCATGCCCTTCTCAGTGGCATGCAAAAGAAAGTCACTATCTGATTTATTTCCACATACATTAATTTTCCTATCTTAGAAAGTCAGATCATTGAAATCATGTATTATATACTCATTATATTTCACACTGTAAAGATTTCAAATTATTTCAAGTTGTTGAGTGCATCTGTTATTTATTTTTTAATTACTAAGTAGACTAGCACTGTATAAATAGTATACCTCATTTTTTATTCACTTTCTATTATGTGGTAATTAGGTTGTTTGCAGTGTTTAGCTATTGTGATTAAAGCTACTATAAATATTTTTGAACAAGTCCATTTGTGGATATGTTATATTTTTTATGAAATATCTGAGGATGGACTTCATGAGACCTAGTGCATGCTTCACATATCTGAGGATGGAATTCATGAGACCTAGTGCATGCTTCACAAACACTAGGACTCATCAGTTCCAATATCAGGTATTTCACAAGAAAAATAAGAACTAGATAGCTAACTGCAAGGTCAGGAGTTCAAATCCACAAGCCAATCCTTGGAAGATGAGGTTTTCTGCTTTCGTAAAGATTAACAGCCTCAGAAACTCTAAACAGAGTCTATATGAATCAGAATTGACTAGATGGCAGTGTGTTTGGTTCAGTTTTGGTGATGTATGTATATTTAATTTTACTAAGAACTAGAATCATTTTCTAAGGTGGTTGTGCCATTTTACACTTCCAGCAACAAAAAATAATTCCAGTTTTCCACATCATCATCAAAAGTTGATGTTGCTACCTTTTTATTTAAAAAATTTTTTAATTTTAGTCCTTCTAGTTCAAAGGAGCTCTGGTAGCGTAGTGGTTACGAATCGGGCTGCGAACCTTAAGGTCAGCGGTTCGAAACTACCAGCCGCTCCGCGGGAGAAAGATGAGGCTT